GACTTTGACTGACGCTGTCTGTTGCTTGATACAGGTCCTTGAGGTGCTTGTACGCGAGTTCCGCGGAGTTGCCGAATCCCCGGTAGGATTCTCAGTCGGGGTGATGTTTCTCAGTAGGATCGTATACGCCATCATCGACTGATATGTGTACTGCTGCTTCTCATACTGTGTGCCGTTTGTTGGGTATGGCACAGACCCGTCGAAGAAGCCAAGTATCTGCGCGCCTTCCATCATCAGCTCGAATTCGAAAGACCAGGTAAAGAAGTCTTTTCCGTCGAAGGGCCTTGACGTCTGCAGCTTTAAGACGTGCGCGAATTGCGACTGTACTTGTAGTGCATCCAGTTGTCTTTCTTGTCCAGATGGAGCTTGCGGCATGAAGCTGATGGACCCGCGTTCATACGGAGCAAAGGTAGGTTGTTGCTGATTCCCGCGCGCATATGATGAACCATCAAGACTCATTGGAGTCACGTTGTTGTTGTTGCTGTTGTTTGACTGCGCAGGTGCCGACTGCTGGTGTTGCTCGTAAAACGACATGAAGGAGAAAAATTTCTCCATCATACTCTGGTCGAAGCTGGCAGGTTGGCTGGCTGAAGGCGCTGCTGGTCCCGTTGCAGTTCCTTCCTCTGTCTGCAGGCCAGAGGCAGGAGGTGGGGTAGGAGTAGTCCCGGGAGAACCATTGGAGGAACTCCTTTCCTTGTATGTTGCCATGTCGTCTGTTGATGTCTTGGTAGTAGTTGAATTTTCCCTGATAGCTCTCATACCATGTTGGGCTGAGAAAAGCCCTTAGGATCTTTGCAGAGGTATATTCGGGGTAGAACAATTGTAATAGCGGAAGCGTTTAATGAAGACTTGTGAACCACCTTGCACTAGTGTGTGAGAGCAAAGTAAGTTGATTATAACAAAGAGATACAAGAATATATAGTAGTACAAGGAATACGAAAGGATACGGTTGTGACTAATTTGCTGTTGCGGTTCGATACAGTACGACTCGGGCAACTGCTCTGTAACGAGTCAGTTGTGTGTCCTTAACTGTCGCGCTGTACTTGTCAGGTCAAAGGTCGCTGACCTTTGACTTTCGCGTAACCTCCAGCAACCTCTTTCAACCTCCGAGGGTTGACTCGCTCGTGCCTCGATATGACTCGCTTCGCTTCTGGTGTGATGTTTCGACACGACAGAGGCGCTTTAGGAATTACTTGTTTCCAACAATTGGGACAACTGCGCAGTTCTGCCTTTCAACATCGACCCACTCTCCATCACCAACGCAGGTCACATCCCTGTTCGCAAACCGGATGAAGCCGAACGCATCTTGGGAATCTACGTCGAACAAAACCAACCCGGGCTAACTACATGGGACAAAATCCTCGCCAAGGTTCGAACATCCACTGAATTCCTCTCACGCCTACATCCCACAGTCACATGCCGGAACTTACTCGCCTCTGAACGCCTCACGTCTGTCTTTTCTTCGGGGGACGTTTCCAACCTGCCCCTCCTAGTACGACATCGCATCTCGATCGCGTGGTGGGAATTTTCCTCGCTTCTTCAAAATATAAGGAGGACGGCCAAGCAACACGTCATATCCCTAAATGCTTTCTCTACAACAAAAAGAAACATGGAGGTGTGGGTGCTACCGAACCCTCTACGATCCTAAAAGCTCTCAATATCCAACGCGCCTCACGACGCTTTCTTCCCACACCGTATGAAGATACGGCCCGCGCCTGTGTCACACTCCCATACGGGCTACATTGAAGAATTTTTCCTTCTCGACAGACAAGTACGATTGGGCAATCTATTAATCGAGGTTCTAGGAGGCTGTCGCCAAAAAACCGCCGCAGAATTCCGGTCTCAATACCCCCCCAAAAAATTCCCTTGTGGGGTACGCATTCTCAAAACTATCTACAAGGCCATACCGGATGAATGGTGGTCAGTACTTAAAAACTTCACCCCTCCATCAGGGTACCTACGGAAAGGCGATTGGGCCTTCAAAGCCTCCCCAGGTGCGACAGTAACGCAGGTCTTACGAGTCACTCAGGTGTTTGACAACAACACCGCCCGTTTCGACTGCTATGACGTGACACAAGGGAGACATGTGGCCAAGACACCCTCAGGCAACACGACACTAGCCGCCGCGGACGTCATCACAGTGTGCGTCATCGGGAGCTGGTTAGCAGGACCATTCTGCTCGGGCGCGGCGCTGGGGGTACGGCACGAACTAATCCGGCAGTGACCATGCCTAGCCGATATTCGTCACAACCTCTACCGCCGACAGCCCCTCCCTCACATCGACCGATGGAACGATCATCTACACACTCCGATTCAATCCCTACCCGATTTCACCCATACCTTTCTCAAGGACCAAACCAGCCGTCAACGAGACATACTCTACCGCCTTTATACACGCTCCCTCCCCTGCGGTTCCAGAATGCCTTTCACCCGCAGCCGAGGAATCTGCTCCCGCTGTCATACCAACTCCGTTGAATCCCACACTCACATTTTCTTTGAATGCGGCAATGCCCCAGCAGTCACCACAGCCTTGCAACGCACCGCCAGCAAACACCTTCGGCTGACAATTCCGACTGAAGCGGTTTTTTTCCCACCCCCTACAGCCGCGGGACTAATCGCTCCATGGTGCCTCCTAGTGGGCGCAGCAGCCACAACTCTATGGCGCGACAGATGCTCTCACATGTACGACAATGTGTCCCACTCCACCCCTGAAACCCTACACCACATCCTGGCTCTGTTCCTATCCGCCTGCAAGGTTTACTTTCACCGCCGAAGCAAAATGTCGGACAAGCGGAAACGCACCACTGACAACCGAGTGAAAGCAGCCAACATCCACAAGCTGCTTCAGTTTCTACCGAATGGTACACCACATCCCCACCCGGAGCTCCGTGCGTCATGGCTTCTCAACAACGCGTACCAGCCACCGTAACTTCACCCCCTTCCCTTTCGACTCCAACACAGAGCGGGCAGCAATATTCCTACCTGCGGAATTAGTTCGGTTAGACAAACGCTGTTTTAGCGTAGGCCTTTGGCGCTGGTTTATTACCTTGTTTAACCTCTGTGTTGTCTGGGTTACGACCTTAATAAAAACTTAAAACCGCATCGAGGTAAACCATACGAGCCACAGTGCCACACTGGGGGTGGCCCTTATTACCGCCCACTAACCAGGCCACGTCACGGGACTGCTTCCCTTTCTTGTCGCCCTGCTCCACTAATCGCAACGCATCGCACGCACGCGTCGCAATCAAACCGAATCTCGCGCGTTAGGCTCTTTGTCAGTCAGTAAATCACAAGTTGGCTGGCAGACAAGTGTGCGGTGGGGACAGTGCAGTTTAGCCTTTGTCCATTTGTGGAAATGATGCCAAAATAGCCGATTCTTTTACCTAGCTGCTCGGAAGTGCACCTGTCTTCCTTTACACCTAGCCACCGCTATTTTCAACTTCTGACCTTGGCACTGTTCCCGATTTTCATGTAATCCCTGCCCAGCTTTTGGGGTTTTCTGTTAGAAACCTCGTTATAGGGGACTATGAATGACATCAAATGGAGATTTCAATCGGGCGAGTGTAAGACAATTTCGGCTCGTGTGGAGTCTGCTTGTTGTTGCGCATCCCATTGCGTAGCTTTCAGGAGTCAGGAACTAACTCTGCGTAGAGCGTATGACGTCCGACACAACCCTCGGTCAAAAACGTTTTGAAGGGTGCCTACCCCTTTGCACACGTGGGGGTTGAAGATAGACCGAAAGAAAATAGCGGTGGTTAGGTGTACAGTCGCTTCGCTAGGGTTCGCTGCACTCTCGTAACTCGTCCTCCCAAGCCCTAAAAGGGGCACCATGGATAAAGAGCGGGGAGTGGTTGCGGGGGGGGGGAATGCTGTTGTTATGGTTGGTCGGGCAAGGCTATCGGCGGCATTTGTGGGGGAGCCAGCAGCGCGAAGGGAACTAGTTAGCAGTGTCTGTCTTTAGGACAAAAGTAGCTATGGTGTGAATATCTAGAAACTATCTGCAAGTTCTACTAGAAACGTAGTACGCCGGTGGGGCGAGACTTCATGGGCGCGACTTCATCGCTCGGCGTTTCGCTCCTAGTTTCTGGCGACCGACGGCTGGTGTGTTTCCAGAAACGCCGATTCTCCCCGCCGTACTAGCAACGGAGAAAAACGCTTGAAGTCGCGGAGCCGCGGAGCCAATAATCGGATAGACATAGACTACGGAACGAGTCTTCGGTTGGTGTGTTCCCTCAGAAAAACGGTTCTCCCTCGTTAGATTGTGCGGATACTCTTTTTCGACAAGGCTGCCGCGATTCTGGCGATCAGTCAGAGTGGTATTTAATCCTTGGCAAGTGCGGCGGCTCGGACGACTAATAGTTTAGTATGCCGCGATGCTGATTTGTTTTCGCGATTTTTTCCTCGAACCCTGGCTTTTGTGACTATTTTGTCTCCACTTGAGACTGGAAGCCAGTTTTTTTCTCCCTCGAAGCGGCTTTCTGACATGACGTCGTTGCCACGTCATCGCGACCCCCGTGGCGGCAAACGGCGTGCGGCCGGGCTGGCGGAATAAAATATGTCGCCGCTGGCGACGAAGTGATTATTGCCAAGCTAACTACTATTGCTCCGCAAATTGCGGCGGGTGGCTATTCTACTCGCGCCGCATCCTCCTAACCCTATTTCTCGCCACCCTTTCCGTGCGACTCGCAACACCTCCCGGCGCATCGGCGACAACGCCCGCCGCTGCTTCGCAAATCAACGACGAACGACTTTGGGTCCAGATGGCGTGGAGACGAGACGGAGGCTTCTCTGGTAACCAGATAAGTCGAAATAAGATATTTCGCAGATCAGCAGCACTTCGACAGTTATGCCCAGCTGTTACCACGAAAGCCGCATATGACGGTCACAATATCGCGATAGCCATGGCCTCACGCGGAAGAGCCGCTAGATGGGCGATTCGGGAGGAATTGCACGTGGCTGGCTCGAGAAAAAGGAGGGAGGGTTGGCGAAGTCCATTACGAATGAGAACACCGAAATTATCTTCGCCTTTTTGGCCCGGGAACCTCACACATCCGTCCCCAGCGACGCCGCAGCAGCCTGCTGAGCCGCCAGGGTCGTCCAGAGGAACTGGCGGGACTGCCGCAAACGCAAGTGTCGCGAACACTACGAATGGAAGTAGCGGTGCTGACGACGCGGTTACCAACGCTACAAGTTCTAACGCCAACAGTACCAGCGGCGTAAATCACGGCGGAATCAGCGGGAGTGGGAACGGAACCAAAGAAGTTCTTCGAATTGCGTGTATTGTCTCGCTCGAGTTTCTGCCAGTGCTCGGAACAGGTACAGCAGAAATTCTATCTACTATACAACAAAAACAAAAGTTTATAGTATATGGGCGTTTGCTCCAGCACATGCATCATCCAAATGTTTATTTGGAAGCGCTTGTCACTTCCTTTTTTTTTTTATTCTTTCTTTCTTTCTTTTTACGACCGCATGCAACGTCATCCATCAAGTCATCTCGCCACGCCCCCTGCCTACCCTTCCCCTGTCTCTACTCCCCGCAGCCCTGCGTCTGGGCGTTGACCAAGTCAACGCTAACCCTCACCTGCTGCCACGTCACCTTCTTGCGATGCAACTGCTGGACGGCGGCGCGACGCCGTTCCTCGGACAGCTGGCAGGTGAGAGAGGGGGAAGTGAGAAATGAGATGCGTGCTGGAGAGATTATGGGAGGCGCTGGGGCAGGTGAGAAGGGCAGGTGACAGCTGGCAGGTGAGAGGGTGTGAGTTCTGAGACTTCTTACAACGAGAGGCCGAGATACGGAAAGGGGATGATTTTTTCGAGACACTCCCCCGGACTTCCCCACTTGCCCCCTCCCCTCCACCATTCTCTCTTCCCACTCATTCAGGCTTAGAGGCGATGAAGAAGGATCCGCTGCTTATCGGCGGGCCAATGCTGTCCCTTTTTCCCCGTTTCCCGCTCCCCCTTCTTCCCTTGCCCTTCCCCCCCTCCCCCCCCCCCCCCCCCCCCCCCCCCTCCCCTCCCCCCCCCTTCATCAGGCCTAGAGGCGATGAAGAAGGATCCGCTGCTCATTGCGGGGCCGATGCTGTGTGCCCCTCTTCTCCCCCCTCATTTCTCCACCACACCGTCATCCCCCCTCCCCCTCCCCCCCCCCTCCCCCTCCCCACCAATTCTTCCCCATTCTCTCCCCCCCTCATCAGGCCTCGAGGCAATGAAGAAGGATCCGCTGCTCATTGTGGGGCCAATGCTGTCGGGACAGGTGGCGCTGCTCGGAAGCAGCCTCGGGAATGCCGCCCAGGTCAGCCTAGGGAATACCGCTACCAGTCTGGGGATTATTGCTGCTCATTGTGGGGCCAATGCTGTTGGGACAGGTGGCGCTGCTCGGAAGCAGCCTTGGGAATGCCGCCCAGGTTAGTCTAGAGATTTTCGCTGAGGCCAGCCTAGCGATTGCCGCCCCGGTAGGTTAGAGTAGAGAATGCCGCCCGTGTCAGCGTAGGAATTGCCGCCCGGATTGGTCAGCCTAGAGAATGCCATCCACGTCAGCGGCCTAGGGAATGCCGCCAAGTCAGCCTACGTAATGCCACTGCCAGATTAGCCTAGGGAATGCCGCCCAAGCGAGCCTAGAAATTGCCGCCTGGGTCGATCAGCCAAGGGAATGCCGTCCACGTCAGCAGCCTGGGGAATGCTGCCCACCCGGGTTGGCCGAGTGACCGCCGCCCGGGTTGGCCGAGTGAATGCTGCCCGGATTGGCTTAGTGAATGGTATTAGTGTGTTTCTCAGTGCTGCCACGCACATCAACCTCATCTCACCGCTCCGAATTCCACCCCCACCGCTTGGAACCGCACTCCACCCTAACTTCTCCTCTCCTCTCATCTCTCCCCTTGTTCCTTCTTTCAGATACCCATGGTAGCATATGCTGCTACGGATCCCACCCTCACTGTCAGCACGGAGCGACAGTTTGTCATGCGGACAACCCACAGCGACGCTGCTGAGATGCAGGCTATCGCAGGTATTTACCAATTATGCCCGTGAAATTGCAGGTAATTAGTGAGTGTACCCGTGGTGGCACATGCTGCCACGGATCCCACCCTCACTGTCAGCACAGAGCGACAGTTTGTCATGCGGACCACCCGCAGCGATGCTGCTGAGATGCAGGAAATCGCAGGTATATACCAATCATGGCCATGAAATTGCCGGTGGTAACTAGGAAAATGCAGATGCTACTCTGCCGATGCTACCCTGCAGAAGCTACTCTGCCGATGCTACTCTGCAGAAGCTACTCTGCCGATGCTACTCTGCAGAAGCTACTCTGCCGATGCTACTCTGCAGAAGCTACTCTGCCGATGCTACTCTGCAGAAGCTACTCTGCCGATGCTACTCTGCAGAAGCTACTCTGCCGATGCTACTCTGCAGAAGCTACTCTGCCGATGCTACTCTGCAGAAGCTACTCTGCCGATGCTACTCTGCAGAAGCTACTCTGCCGATGCTACTCTGCAGACGCTACTCTGCCGATGCTACTCTGCAGAAGCTACTCTGCCGATGCTACTCTGCAGAAGCTACTCTGCCGATGCTACTCTGCAGAAGCTACTCTGCCAATGCTACTCTGCAGAAGCTACTCTGCCGATGCTACTCTGCAGAAGCTACTCTGCCGACGCTACTCTGCAGAAGCTACTCTGCCGATGCTACTCTGCAGAAGCTACTCTGCCGATGCTACTCTGCAGAAGCACAACTAGGATAATTGTTTTTTGAGACGTCTCAAAACGTCTCTGCAGGTGGATAATTGTTCACTGCTTCGGCCGTCGTGCTTTGTGCTGTGCTGCACGGATTGGCTGGTCTAATATTTCTGTCTTGCCTCTTGCTGAAATGCTTTGCACTGCTTCCCTACCCTCCCATGCAGACATCATCCGGCATCACGAGGAGGACCGGTGGATGGAGGTGGTAACCATCTACATTGGCAACCGCCCCTGATGTGTGGCGCTGTGCGGTGCTGTGCTGTGCTGTGCGGTGCTGTGCTGTGCTGTGCTGTGCGGTGCTGTGCTGTGCTGTGCTGTGCTCCCTGCTCCCATGCAGGCAACATCAGGCACCATAAGGAGGACCGCTGGATGGAGGTGGTAACCATTTACATCGACAACTGATCCATATGTGCTGTGCGGTGCCACGCGGTGCTGTGCGGTACCATGCGGTGTTGTGCGATACTCTGTTTCCTCCCTGTACACTTGCAGACATCATCAGGCATAACGAGGAGGACCGCTGGATGGAGGTGGTAACCATCTACATCGATAACCGCTTTGGCCGCAACGGCATCGTGGCTCTCGAGTCCGCGCTTCAGAACAAGGTATGGGCTGAGCTGAGCTGACCTGAGCTGAGCTGGGCTGGGCTGGGCTGGGCTGGGCTGGGCTGGGCTGGGCTGGGCTGGGCTGGGCTGGGCTGGGCTGGGCTGGGCTGAGCTGAGCTGGGCTGGGCTGGGCTGTTGAAGGTAGGCAGTTGGACAGGCGGCTGTAGTTGTGGCAACCATCTACATCAACAATCGCTTTGGTCGCAACGGCATCGTGGCTCTCGAATCAGCGCTTCAGAACAAGGTATGGGCTGAGCTGAGCTGACCTGAGCTGGGCTGAGCTGTTAAAGGTAGGTAAACACAAGGACCGGTGGATGGAGGTGGTGACTGTCTACATCGACAACCGCTGCCGGGTGTTTTTTGAGAAAAACACTCTGCAGCATCATGGTGTTTTGAGTCGACTCAAAACACCCTGCAGCATCATGGTGTTTTGAGTCGACTCAAAAACACCCTGCAGCATCATGGTGTTTTGAGTCGACTCAAAAACACCCTGCAGCATCATGGTGTTTTGAGTCGACTCAAAAACACCCTGCAGCATCATGGTGTTTTGAGTCGACTCAAAAACACCCTGCAGCATCATGCAAGTTGTCACTGTCTACATCGACAACCGCTTCGGCCGCAACGGCATCGTTGCTCTCGAATCGGCGCTTCAGAACAAGGTGAGTGCATTTGAAGATATCTAATGTCAACTGTATAGCCCTCTTCAGAACAAGCTGCGTGTAATGAGACGTCTCAAAAATAACCTCATTACACATGACAACTGTATAGCCCTCTTCAGAACAAGTTGTGTGCTGCTGCTGCTGCTGCTGCTGCTGCCGAGAACTGTTGCTGCTGAGAACTGTTGCTGCTGAGAACTGCTGCTGCTGAGAACTGCTGCTGCTGAGAACTGCTGCTTCTGCTGAGAACTGCTGCTGCTGCTTCTGCTGAGAATCTTCGCAAGGTACGCACTGTCTAAGGTTCTCAGCAGTTGAGCCGGGCAGTTGAGCCGGGCAGTTGAGCCGGGCAGTTGAGCCGGGCAGTTGAGCCGGGCAGTTGAGCCGGGCAGTTGAGCCCCACAGAGTCACTTTGCTACCGAGTACCTCCCCGTCCCCCTCCCCCTCCCCCCCCCTTCCCCCCCCCTCTCCCCCTCCCTCTCCCCCTCTCTCCCTCCCCCTCCCCCTCCCCCAGGGCTCCAAAGCAAGGATATCTCGAGCCATTCCTTTAGACATCACGTGGACCGTGGCAGACGTGAAGGAGAAGCTGCTGCCTCTGGTCTGGTCAGCTCTACAAGCACACTCCTCCTCCCCTTATCCCTTATCACCAGGGCTCCAAAGCAAGGATATCTCGAGCCATTCCTTTAGACATCACGTGGACCGTGGCAGACGCGAAAGAGAAGCTGCTGCCTCTGGTCTGGTCAGCTCTACAAGCACACTCCTCCTCCTCTTATCCCCTTATCACCAGGGCTCCAAAGCAAGGATATCTCGAGCCATTCCTTTAGACATCACGTGGACCGTGGCAGACGCGAAAGAGAAGCTGCTGCCTCTGGTCTGGTCAGCTCTACAAGCACACTCCTCCTCCCCTTATCCCCTTATCACCAGGGCTCCAAGGCGAGGATATCTCGAGCCATTCCTTTAGACATCACATGGACCGTGGCAGACGTGAAAGAGAAGCTGCTGCCTCTGGTGTGGTCAGCTCTACAAGCACACTCCTCCTCCCCTTATCCCCTTATCACCAGGGCTCCAAAGCAAGGATATCTCGAGCCATTCCTTTAGACATCACATGGACCGTGGCAGACGTGAAAGAGAAGCTGCTGCCTCTGGTGGAGCGGGAGGAGTCGACTCAGAGCAGAGTTGACTCAACAGAGGTACACCCCTTTCCCTTTCCCCTCCCTCCCCATCTCCCTCTCCCCCTTTCCCCCTCCCACAGGGCTCCAAAGCAAGGATATCTCGCGCCATACCGCTGGACATCACGTGGACAGTGGCAGACGTGAAAGAGAAGCTGCTGCCTCTGGTGGAGCGAGAGGAGTCGACAGTGGTGGTAGTGCACGATGCAGGGGGGCACGACACGGGGCGGGTCTTTATCGCGGGTAAGGGGTGATGATTTCCTGGGGGGATAGCTGGGTGGTGGGGGAAGTGGTGTATTTGGCTGGTGGGGCAGAAGGGGGAGAAGCTGCTGCCTTTGGTGGAGCGGGAGGAGTCGACGGTGGTGGTGGTGCCCGATGCAGGGGGTCACGACACGGGGCGGGTCTTTATCGCGGGTAAGGGGTGATGATTTCCTGGGGGGATAGCTGGGTGGTGGGGGAAGTGGTGTATTTGGCTGGTGGGGCAGAAGGGGGAGAAGCTGCTGCCTCTGGTGGAGCGGGAGGAGTCGACGGTGGTGGTGGTGCCCGATGCAGGGGGTCACGACACGGGGCGAGTGTTCATGGCTGGTGGGCAGGACACGGGGCGGGGTCCTTATGGGTCTTTATGCTGGTAGGGAGGGGTGCTGCGTGCTGGTAGGGATGGCAGTTTAGGTACTAGAACGAGCGCTGATAGGGGGTGTTGGTGGTGGGTTGCTGATGGGTGCACTACGCAGGGGACACAGGCCACATGGAACGTGCACCATGCACCATTTCACATCCTTTTTCACCGCACTCCACTGTTCTCCATACCGTCTTACCCCATCCCTCGTCTTTCGGGTTTAGGGCCTAGCCATGGAGCTGGGGCTGCTGACTGTTCCATACGTGTGGATAGCCACAGAGGCCAAGCAGACAGTGCACTGCACCATGCCCCATACACCATTTTCACCACATTTCACCATGACCCATGCTTCTTAGTCCCCATGCTGCTTAATCCCCATGCTTCTTAATCCCCATGCTTCCTACCTACCTACCAGCCATGGAGCTGGGGCTGCTGACTGCTCCATACGCGTGGATAGCCACAGAGGCCACGTGGACAGTTGTGATTAGTGGAGATGACACGCTGGCACCCGTCAGGAAAGCCATGGAGGTGAGTCAGTCCACGTCAGACAGGTCAATGAGATGAGCGGGTCCACGTCAGCACACCAGTTTACCTTTTTTATGTACACGTGGAAGAAGAGTGAGTGTGTAGGGAGGAGGAGCTGTTTCCTCTGTGGTGGAGGGGGAGGAGGAGGTGTTGTTTCTGAGAATGTTGAGGTGGAGGAGGAGGGGGAGTGTCTGATACAGACACTACCCAACCCCACCCTTATACCCCCCACCCTTATACCCCCCACCCTTATACCAGACACTACCAAACCCCCTTCCTCCTTTCTCATCTCAACCTTCGTAACCCCCTTCCCATCTCAACCTTCCCCATTGCCCCATGCCAGGGCGTATTGGGCATTCAAGCCTACCTGCCGCCCTCACCTGAGCTCGCCAGCTTTAACAAGCTCTGGAACAGTGTGGATCCCAAGCAGTACCCAGGGGCAGGGGAGAAGGTGCGTTGGTGTGATGCGGTGCGTTGCGGTGCAGTGCGGTGCACTGCAGTGCAGTGTGGTGTGGTGTGAAGGAGTGTGGTATGGCGCGCAGCACATGCAGGGAGCTCTGGACCAGGGTGGCCCCCAAAGAGTACCCGGGAGAAGGTGCGTTGGTATGTTTGGCACTCACGCCCTTCAAACCGCTTTGTGCCCCACCCTTTCCCACACCCAGCAGCAACAACAGTTCTTTCCTTCCCCCACCCTTTCCCACACTCCCTCTTTCCCCCCTCTTCTCCAGCCGGACATATACACGTCGCTGGGATATGATACCATCATGTTTGTTGCCCACGCCCTGCAAACCGCTGCACCGCTCTCCACCCCTCTCCCTCCCCCGCCCACCGCTCTTTCTCCAGCCGGACATATACACGCTGCTGGGATATGATACCATCATGTTTGTTGCCCACGCCCTGCAAACCGCTGCACCGCTCTCCACCCCTCTCCCTCCCCCGCCCACCGCTCTTTCTCCAGCCGGACATATACACGCTGCTGGGATATGATACCATCATGTTTGTTGCCCACGCCCTGCAAACCGCTGCACCGCTCTCCACCCCTCTCCCTCCCCCGCCCACCGCTCTTTCTCCAGCCGGACATATACACGCTGCTGGGATATGATACCATCATGTTTGTCACCCACGCCCTTCGAACAGCTGTTGACGCTGGGATCTTCACAGCTGGTGGCAACAGCAGCAAAAGCAATGGCACTATTGCTGCTGGCAACACAAGCAGCAGTAGCAGCAACGGCACTGATGCTGCTGGCAGCAGCAACAGCAGCAGCAACAGCAGCATGGGTGGTAGTGGTGGGGCCCAAGCAGCACTGCCAGAGTCGGTGATAGGGCACAACTCCATCTCGCATCTCCTCTCCAAGATTGAAGTCCGACCATGTAAGCATGTGGGACATTTGATGCGAGGAGGCATGTGAGGGGGTATGTATGGGAGTAGTAGTGGTAGGTAGTGGTAGTGGGGACCAGCAGCACTGCCAGAGTCGGTGATAGGGCACAACCCCATCGCGCCGCTCCTCTCAGCATCAACGTCTGAGCATGGGAGGAGGGAAACATGTAAGCACATGGGCATGGAATGGCAGGGGGCATGTGGGGGGGAGGCAGCACTCCCAGGGTCGGTGATTGGGCACAACTCCATCTCGCCCCTCCTCTCCAAGATCAAAGTCCGACCATGTAAGCCCATGAGGGAGCATGTTAGGGTGTGTGAAGGGGCATGTGAGCAGTAGCAGCAGCAGCAGCAGCAGCAACAGCAGCAGCATGAGTGGTGGGGCCCAAGCAGCTCTGCCAGAGTCGGTCGTTGGGCACAAACCCATCGCGCCCCTCTGACCATGTGGGAGAGCATGTGAGGGAACACGTAAGCATGTGTGACAGTGAAGTGCGCCTATTCTCCCTTTACACGCTCCTCTTTCCCCCCTGCTCTCCTCTCCTTCCCCTCTCCTTCCCCCATCATGTTTCAGACGGCGCTGCGCTTCGCGAGGTGCTGCTGCAGACTGAAATCAAAGGAGCCACTGGGAGGGCCTCGTACTCCCCTCTCTCCGCCCCACTTTCCCCTTGCTCCCTCCCTCCACCCCCCCCATGTCCCCGTCACCCCCCACCGTTCAGACGGCGCTGCTCTTCGCGAGGTGCTGCTGAAGACGGAAATAAACGGCGCCACTGGGAGGTGAGAGGACAGGAGGGAATGGGATGATGGGGAGGGAGGGTTGTCAATGAGAGGGGGATTGAGGGTTGGGGGAATGAGTGGGGGGGGAAAGTCAAGAGGTGCTGCTGAAGACGGAAATAAACGGGGTCACTGGGAGGTGAGGGACGGGTTTAAAGGGTTGGGAGGTCTTGCAAAAAAAAAAAAAAAAAAAAAAAAAACGCATTCTACTGGCCAGGATAGGAGCGCTTGAAAGCATTCATTGTGGTCAATGTGGTCAATGCGGTCAACTCCTCTTCCCAATGAAACAAGCAACCTGTTTTCCACACCATGCATGCAGGTTGAATCTGCTGCCCAATGGCGACCGTGACAAGAGCGACTTGGAGGTTATCAATGTGGTCAACGAAGGTCAATGTGGTCAATGCGATCAACTTGGTCAACGCGGTCAACACGACTGCTTCTTGAACCTGTGTTTCACGTGCCTCACACACACGCCTGCCACGCAGGTTGAATCTGCTGCCCAACGGGGACTGGGACAAGAGCGATTTGGAGGTTATTAATGTGGTGAACGGCACTGCTTGTTAATACAAAGACTATACATCTTCCACGTGACATGCAGGTTGAATCTGCTGCCCAACGGGGACCGGGACAAGAGCGACCTGGAGGTTATCAATGTGGTCAACGGCACTGCTCGTGTTGTGGCCTACTGGCAGAGCTCCAGAGGATTGCTGTCCACCACCAAGGTAATCCCAAGGGAGTCAATGTGGTCAACGGCTCTGCTCGTGTGGTGGTGTACTGGTAGAGCAGTAGGGGAGTGTGCTGTCCACCACCTAGGTAATCCCAAGGGAGTCAGTGTCAACGCAGTCAATGCAGTCAATGCAGCGTTGAAGGATTCAATGGAGTCAATGTGGTGAACGGTACTGCAGGGCAGGAGTGGTCAATGCAGTCAACGCAGTCAATGCAGCCAATGCAGTCAACGCAGTCAATGCAGTCAACGCAGTCAATCCTGCCCCACTCATTCCTTGTCCCACCCTGCCCCCCTACTCCCTCCCTTTCACTCTCCTCCCCTCCACACCAGCGACTAGTGCAACGAGGGGCCAACAACAGCTGGTCAACAGTTGTGTGGGGTGCTCTTGAACCCGCTCATTCTTTATCCCACCCCGCTCTCCTCACGCGATTACTCCCTCGCTCCCTCCCACTCTCCTCCCTCCCACACCAGCGACTAGTGCAGCGAGGGGCCAACGACAGCTGGTCAACAGTTGTGTGGCCTGGAGGGTCGAATCAGGTGAGGGTTGGGCTGGTTGAGTTCAATCAGGTGGGTTCTTGAAAATTCTTTCAAGTTAATTTCTCCCCGCCTTTCCCTCTCTCCGCCTCCTCCTCTTGTTCATTGAGTTCTCCCTTCCCTCATTCCATCAACTGCTGACTGCTGTTCTTCCCTTGTCGTAATCATCATGCTTCAATTCTCATCCACACAAACCTCCTTCCCCTTCTCTTTCCCCCCCTTTCTCCCTCTCCCCCTTCCCTTTTCCTTTCCCTTTCTCCCTCACCCCTCCCCTGTTGTCTCGTTTTTGTGCTGCCATCTCTCCCTTTCTCACCTTCCCTATCAGGCGCCTTGGGGTTATCTTCCCAAGAAGAAGCTCCGGCTGGCTGTCCCAGTGAAAATGGTGAGCTAATTTGTGATGATAGATGGTGTTTTATGAGAGTTGGGGTGTGTGGGGAATGGGGGGGTGGGGGGATGGGGAGATGGGAGTGTGTGTGTGAAGGCCCCTACCAGACACCCTGGGGTTACCTTCCCAACAAGAAGCTCCGGCTGGCTGTCCCGGTGAAAATGGTGAGCTGGGTGTGAGGAGGGGAGTTGGTGTGTGCGGGGAGTTGGTGCGTAATAGGAGTTGGTGTGTGATGGTTGTCCCTCTTTCGAGCCACATAAACTCACCTCAACTACCCCCTCTTGCTGCTGCTGCTCTCCACCACCCCTGCTTTGTCCCCTTCCCCCACTCCTCCTTCCCCTCATCAGGGCTTCCACCAATTCTCCTCCATTGCCAGCAACACCACAGGGGACGAGGCTGATCAAGCCGCTGTGGGGGGATTCCCTGTGGCCGTTTTCAGAGCCACAGCAGCGCACCTCAAGTACCCCTTGCGCTACGAGTTTGTGCCATTTGGCAACGGCTCCTCCAACCCAAGCTATGATGAAATGCTGCAAGCCGTGGCCGATAAGGTGGGTGCTGAAGCACGTCTAGCTTTGGACCTTTGTCTCTGTATGTGCCGTTTGGAAACGGCTCCTCCAACCCCAGCTACGACGAAATGCTGCAAGCCGTGGCCGATAAGATAGGTCTTAAGACGACTGGATTTGAAATGGATAGGTTTGACAAGCCACCTCACTCTGCCTCTCGTGTGTGTGTGCATCGGCTATATTGAAATCACTTTTGAGAATTGTCACTTCGGCATGGATAGGTTTGACAAGCCATCTCCCTCTTCCTCGTGTGTGTGTGCATCCCTGCGTTTGTGCAGAAACTGGACGGTGCAGTGGGGGACATTGTGGTTACAAGCCAACGAACTCGCATCGTCACCTTCTCGACCACCTTTATGGTCAGTTCCCATTTCTCTCAAGCTTATAGAGTAACAAGCATACTCGAAGTATAGTTTGTATCGCACGCACAGTAGTACGAACTTACATTGTCACGTTCTCGTTTTGAGACGTCTCAACTAAACTTACATTGCCACCTTTTCCTTTTGAGACGCCTCAAAACTAAACTTACATTGCCACCTTTTCCTCCACCTTCTTGTCCATGGGCGCCCACTTTTGCTTACGACTAAGAAAAAGGTGACGTCTCAAAAGTGGGCGCCCACTTTTGCTTACGACTTTCCTCGCTTTTCAGAATAGTATACTGAGTACTATAGATCGCTACTCTTAGTAGGCTTGCTGCATTTCGAAACCAACGAATTTTAACATTTCTCCTTCACCTTCTTGGCCATGCCCGCTCGCCCACCTTTTTCCCCATTTGCACACAAGCAACTCTTGTCCTTCGTTTGCGCACACACCCCCTTTCCCCTACCCTGTTCTCCCCACTCCTTCCACCCAGTCCTCAAGCCTAGCAATGGTCACGCTAGCGCCAGAAGACTCCAACCCCTGGACGCCCCTCGTGCCCTTCTCCCCTTCCATGTGGGCCTGGCTCGGCATAGCAGCCGCCCTCTTCGCCCTCACAATCCTCTTCCTGGAACGCCGCAACTCCTCCCTTTTCCTCCAACACCCCGTCGAGGGAACCACCAAGGCCGCCCGCTGCCGCTCGAAAGCCTTCTCGCTGCTTCAAGTCCTCTGGGAGGCGCTGTGGATCTCGTTTCAGAGTTACTTTCTCGTGCCCGTGGAGGTTCACACGCTGCTGGCACGGGTGCCGGTGCTGGTGTGGTACGGACTGGTGCTGATTCTGAGCACCTCGTATACGGCCAACCTCACCTCTATCTACACCGTCAACCTTCTCACTCCTCCTCTCCAGGTGTGTGCGTGCGAGCATTTGTGCCTGTCAATACTGCTGCCAGGTGACTTTTGAGTCGACTCTCCAGGTGTGTGCGTGCGAGCATGTGTGCCTGTCAATACTGCTGCCCGGTGCACCATCGGGTAGGGGCAGTGAGTCGCCTCTATGGATCGCCTGGCTGGTGGGGTGGTATGCTCCCTCTGCGGCTCATTCTGACCACCTCGTATACGGCCAACCTCACCTCTATTTACACCGTCAACCTCCTCACTCCTCCTCACCACCTGCATGCATGTGTGTGTGTTGTCCGTGTGTGGGCCTCCTCACTCCTCCTCTCTAGGTGCGTGCGCCTTCGATAATGCTGTGCAGTGCAAGTGACAGTGAGAATCAACACCCTTTGGAGTGCCGGTAATGGTGTGGTATGGACTGGTGCAATCCGAGGCTGCACCATTGTTTACCGCGCAAACAGGCAGGGCCCTTGGTGTTCTGTATTTTGAGTAGACTAAAAAGTTGTTCCACTCCATTCCATCATCTCCCTCCTGACCCTGTCACGTGCCGTGCATGTGCAGTCGGTCGGGGAGGCAGTGGTCCGAGGCCCCATCATGGTTACCAAGCAAACGCAGCTCTTGTGTTCTGTATTTTCAGTCAACTCAAAAGTTGTTCCACTCCATTCCATCATCTCCATCCTGACCCTGTCACGTGCCGTGCATGTGCAGTCGGTCGGGGAGGCAGTGGTCCGAGGCCCCATTATGGTTACCAAGCAAACGCAGCTCTGGTGTTCTGTATCTTGAGTAGACTAAAAAGTTGTTCCACTCCATTCCATCATCTCCCTCCTGACCCTGTCATGTGCCGTGCATGTGCAGTCGGTCGGAGAGGCAGTGGTCCGAGGCTCCATTACTGGGTACATGAAGAGAGGGTATTTTTGAATCGTCTCAAAAATACCCTCTCTTCACGCGGCTCCATTACTGGGTACAAAACGGGGTCCTTGTTTCTGTGTGTCTCCATCCTGTCATCTCCCTACTGCCCCTGCCCCATGCTTGTGCAGTCGGTCGGGGAGGCAGTGGTCCGTGGCTCCATCATTGGCTACCAAGCCGGATCCTTCGTCCGATCCTACCTGCTGCAGATTGGCCTCAAACCAGTAAGCCCTTCCTTATTCCCAGCCGCACCTTTTTTTTTTTTTTTTTTTTTCAATCTGCCCTTTTACTACGAGGCGCTGAGAGCAGGGAGGACGGTACCTTACCTGCACGCCCCAGCCCCTCAAGCCTCTCCTCCCCACTCCTTCCTCCCAGTCCCAGCTGGTGCCACTCAACAGTGAGAGCGATTACTACAAGGCGCTGAGAGCAGGGAGGGCTCATCAGTTGCTGCTCCGCTGCTTCCCTCCCCCCTTTCCCATCTTTCAGTCCCAGCCAGCTAGTGCCGCTGAACAGTGGAAGTAACTACTACAGGGAGGGCGGTACCTTACCCGCATGCCCCAGCCCCTCATGCCTCTCCTCCCCACTCCTTCCTCCCAGTCCCAGCTGGTGCCGCTGAACAGTGAGACGCCCAGTTCAGCTCTCAGCAGTACTGCGGCCAGTGCTTCCGCTCCGCCTCACTCCCCTACGCCTTTGTCCCCACCTCACGCCACACACCCCTGCAGGGAGGGTGGAGGCGATAGTGGATCAGACGCCCTACATTGCCCAGTTCAGCTCTCACCAGTACTGCGGCATGCTGCTCCTCCCTGCCCCCTCTTCCCCCTCTCCCAGTCCCAGCTGGTACCTCTCAACAGTGAGGCTGATTACTACGAGGCACTCAAGGCAGGGAGGGTGGAGGCGATAGTGGATCAGACGCCCTACATCGCACAGTTCAGCTCGCAGTATTGCGGCATGCTCGTCACGATGCAGAACCTTCAAAATATCTACCTGGCATTTGTAAGCGAAGTTGTACTCTGATTTTGTTTCGAACCTTTTTTCTTCTTCTTTTTTCTTGTAAAATATCTGTGATTCACATGTTCCAACCCATCTGCACTTCCAATCCATATATACATACATATATTTCTAAACAATTTGTACTTTTACTTTTACAAGAAGCACTCTGGGCTCCATTATTTCTCAAAACAGCCTGGAGTACATAGTATTATAGCAATGATATCACAGTCCCACATTCTTTTTCTCAGTATGTGCTTTATATATACCTTTAGTTATTGAAGAATGATTCGTTGTGGGTTAGATTATTGGAAATTCTTTGTGAGAATCATTATCTGTAAATCCTCCTCCTCCTTCTCGAACTTCTCCTCTTCCTCCTCCTCCTCCTCCTCCTCCTCCTCCTCCTCCTCCTCCTCCTCCTCCTCCTCCTCCTCCTCCTCCTCCTCCTCCTCCTCCTCCTCCTCCTCCTCCTCCTCCTCGTCCTCCTCCTCCTCCTCCTCCTCCTCCTCCTCCCCTCTTCCCCCCCTTCTACACCAGGCCTTCCCCATTGGTTCCCATCTGGCTGATGACGTGGCGCATGCCCTGCTCTACGTGGCACAAAGTGGGGAACTTCAGAGGATACGAGAAGATGTGTTTGCAGTGAGTGCGGGGGGGTGTGGGGGGTGCAGAGGGGCTGAAGGGAGGGGAGGGGTTGGGAAGGAAGGAGTGGGCTGGGCAAAGAGGTAGTTGGGCAGAGAGTGGCACTGACTCTGCTCTGCTCTACGTGGCACAAAGTGGGGAACTTCAGAGGATACGAGAAGATGTCTTTGCGGTGAGAAAGGAGGGGGGAAGGGGCATTTTTTCTTTCTTTCTTTCTTTCCGTCTTTCTTTCTTTCTTTCTTTCTTCTTTCTTTCTTTCTTTCTTCTTTCTTTCTTTCTTTCTTCTTTCTTTCTTTCTTTCTTTTCAAAAAGCACCTGAATCTGGTGTGAGCTGGTGGCTCTTTCCGGGGACGTGCTTTGAGGTGCCTCAACAGTCTTTCCTCCCTCCCCTCCCGTCTGCTCCTCAATCCTTCTTCTGCTCCCAAGCTCCGGCTATATGGAAATCACTTTTGAGAATTCTCAAAAGTGATTTCCATATAGCCGGCGTACAATTCCCTCGTTCTTTGAGGTGACTCAACCGTCTTTCCTCCCTCCCGTCTGCTCCCCAACCCTTCTTCTGCTCCCAAGCTCCGTGCCCTGCTCCAACCTAAACAAGCAATCGGATCGTGCGACGATGCCTCCTCCTCAGCCCTTCAGCTCGGATTCCGCAGTTTCAGCGGCATAATGCTTGTGTTGTGTAGCTGGGGGTGTCTCTGGGGAGGCTTTTGAGGCACCCCAAATCCCATTATAAACTCCTTCCACTCTCTGTTTCCCAAAACCCCGCTCTATCCCGCAACAGACAACAGGAACATGCGATGATTCCTCAACCCTGCAACTTGGCTTCCGCAGTTTCAGCGGCATAATGCTCGTCTACCTGGGGCTGTCTCTGGGAGCGTGCCTGCTCTTTGCGATCATCATCATGGTGCAAGGAGTGCGCGTGCATGTCAACATGTGAGTGGGAGTGCAGTACGGTTCACATGGGTGCATGTGTTTTCATGCTCGTATACCTGGGGCTGTCTTTGGGAGCGTGCCCGCTGTTTGCAAATATCATCATGGTTCAAGGCGTGCGCGTGCATGTCAACATGTGAGTGGGAGTGCAGTACGGTTCACATGGGTGCATGTGTTTTCATGCTCGTATACCTGGGGCTGTCTTTGGGAGCGTGCCCGCTGTTTGCAAATATCATCATGGTTCAAGGCGTGCGCGTGCATGTCAACATGTGAGTGGGAGTGCAGTACGGTTCACATGGGTGCATGTGTTTTCATGCTCGTATACCTGGGGCTGTCTTTGGGAGCGTGCCCGCTGTTTGCAAATATCATCATGGTTCAAGGCGTGCGCGTGCATGTCAACATGTGAGTGGGAGTGCAGTACGGTTCACATGGGTGCATGTGTTTTCATGCTCGTATACCTGGGGCTGTCTTTGGGAGCGTGCCCGCTGTTTGCAAATATCATCATGGTTCAAGGCGTGCGCGTGCATGTCAACATGTGAGTGGGAGTGCAGTACGGTTCACATGGGTGCATGTGTTTTCATGCTCGTATACCTGGGGCTGTCTTTGGGAGCGTGCCCGCTGTTTGCAAATATCATCATGGTTCAAGGCGTGCGCGTGCATGTCAACATGTGAGTGGGAGTGCAGTACGGTTCACATGGGTGCATGTGTTTTCATGCTCGTATACCTGGGGCTGTCTTTGGGAGCGTGCCCGCTGTTTGCAAATATCATCATGGTTCAAGGCGTGCGCGTGCATGTCAACATGTGAGTGGGAGTGCAGTACGGTTCACATGGGTGCATGTGTTTTCATGCTCGTATACCTGGGGCTGTCTTTGGGAGCGTGCCCGCTGTTTGCAAATATCATCATGGTTCAAGGCGTGCGCGTGCATGTCAACATGTGAGTGGGAGTGCAGTACGGTTCACATGGGTGCATGTGTTTTCATGCTCGTATACCTGGGGCTGTCTTTGGGAGCGTGCCCGCTGTTTGCAAATATCATCATGGTTCAAGGCGTGCGCGTGCATGTCAACATGTGAGTGGGAGTGCAGTACGGTTCACATGGGTGCATGTGTTTTCATGCTCGTATACCTGGGGCTGTCTTTGGGAGCGTGCCCGCTGTTTGCAAATATCATCATGGTTCAAGGCGTGCGCGTGCATGTCAACATGTGAGTGGGAGTGCAGTACGGTTCACATGGGTGCATGTGTTTTCATGCTCGTATACCTGGGGCTGTCTTTGGGAGCGTGCCCGCTGTTTGCAAATATCATCATGGTTCAAGGCGTGCGCGTGCATGTCAACATGTGAGTGGGAGTGCAGTACGGTTCACATGGGTGCATGTGTTTTCATGCTCGTATACCTGGGGCTGTCTTTGGGAGCGTGCCCGCTGTTTGCAAATATCATCATGGTTCAAGGCGTGCGCGTGCATGTCAACATGTGAGTGGGAGTGCAGTACGGTTCACATGGGTGCATGTGTTTTCATGCTCGTATACCTGGGGCTGTCTTTGGGAGCGTGCCCGCTGTTTGCAAATATCATCATGGTTCAAGGCGTGCGCGTGCATGTCAACATGTGAGTGGGAGTGCAGTACGGTTCACATGGGTGCATGTGTTTTCATGCTCGTATACCTGGGGCTGTCTTTGGGAGCGTGCCCGCTGTTTGCAAATATCATCATGGTTCAAGGCGTGCGCGTGCATGTCAACATGTGAGTGGGAGTGCAGTACGGTTCACATGGGTGCATGTGTTTTCATGCTCGTATACCTGGGGCTGTCTTTGGGAGCGTGCCCGCTGTTTGCAAATATCATCATGGTTCAAGGCGTGCGCGTGCATGTCAACATGTGAGTGGGAGTGCAGTACGGTTCACATGGGTGCATGTGTTTTCATGCTCGTATACCTGGGGCTGTCTTTGGGAGCGTGCCCGCTGTTTGCAAATATCATCATGGTTCAAGGCGTGCGCGTGCATGTCAACATGTGAGTGGGAGTGCAGTACGGTTCACATGGGTGCATGTGTTTTCATGCTCGTATACCTGGGGCTGTCTTTGGGAGCGTGCCCGCTGTTTGCAAATATCATCATGGTTCAAGGCGTGCGCGTGCATGTCAACATGTGAGTGGGAGTGCAGTACGGTTCACATGGGTGCATGTGTTTTCATGCTCGTATACCTGGGGCTGTCTTTGGGAGCGTGCCCGCTGTTTGCAAATATCATCATGGTTCAAGGCGTGCGCGTGCATGTCAACATGTGAGTGGGAGTGCAGTACGGTTCACATGGGTGCATGTGTTTTCATGCTCGTATACCTGGGGCTGTCTTTGGGAGCGTGCCCGCTGTTTGCAAATATCATCATGGTTCAAGGCGTGCGCGTGCATGTCAACATGTGAGTGGGAGTGCAGTACGGTTCACATGGGTGCATGTGTTTTCATGCTCGTATACCTGGGGCTGTCTTTGGGAGCGTGCCCGCTGTTTGCAAATATCATCATGGTTCAAGGCGTGCGCGTGCATGTCAACATGTGAGTGGGAGTGCAGTACGGTTCACATGGGTGCATGTGTTTTCATGCTCGTATACCTGGGGCTGTCTTTGGGAGCGTGCCCGCTGTTTGCAAATATCATCATGGTTCAAGGCGTGCGCGTGCATGTCAACATGTGAGTGGGAGTGCAGTACGGTTCACATGGGTGCATGTGTTTTCATGCTCGTATACCTGGGGCTGTCTTTGGGAGCGTGCCCGCTGTTTGCAAATATCATCATGGTTCAAGGCGTGCGCGTGCATGTCAACATGTGAGTGGGAGTGCAGTACGGTTCACATGGGTGCATGTGTTTTCATGCTCGTATACCTGGGGCTGTCTTTGGGAGCGTGCCCGCTGTTTGCAAATATCATCATGGTTCAAGGCGTGCGCGTGCATGTCAACATGTGAGTGGGAGTGCAGTACGGTTCACATGGGTGCATGTGTTTTCATGCTCGTATACCTGGGGCTGTCTTTGGGAGCGTGCCCGCTGTTTGCAAATATCATCATGGTTCAAGGCGTGCGCGTGCATGTCAACATGTGAGTGGGAGTGCAGTACGGTTCACATGGGTGCATGTGTTTTCATGCTCGTATACCTGGGGCTGTCTTTGGGAGCGTGCCCGCTGTTTGCAAATATCATCATGGTTCAAGGCGTGCGCGTGCATGTCAACATGTGAGTGGGAGTGCAGTACGGTTCACATGGGTGCATGTGTTTTCATGCTCGTATACCTGGGGCTGTCTTTGGGAGCGTGCCCGCTGTTTGCAAATATCATCATGGTTCAAGGCGTGCGCGTGCATGTCAACATGTGAGTGGGAGTGCAGTACGGTTCACATGGGTGCATGTGTTTTCATGCTCGTATACCTGGGGCTGTCTTTGGGAGCGTGCCCGCTGTTTGCAAATATCATCATGGTTCAAGGCGTGCGCGTGCATGTCAACATGTGAGTGGGAGTGCAGTACGGTTCACATGGGTGCATGTGTTTTCATGCTCGTATACCTGGGGCTGTCTTTGGGAGCGTGCCCGCTGTTTGCAAATATCATCATGGTTCAAGGCGTGCGCGTGCATGTCAACATGTGAGTGGGAGTGCAGTACGGTTCACATGGGTGCATGTGTTTTCATGCTCGTATACCTGGGGCTGTCTTTGGGAGCGTGCCCGCTGTTTGCAAATATCATCATGGTTCAAGGCGTGCGCGTGCATGTCAACATGTGAGTGGGAGTGCAGTACGGTTCACATGGGTGCATGTGTTTTCATGCTCGTATACCTGGGGCTGTCTTTGGGAGCGTGCCCGCTGTTTGCAAATATCATCATGGTTCAAGGCGTGCGCGTGCATGTCAACATGTGAGTGGGAGTGCAGTACGGTTCACATGGGTGCATGTGTTTTCATGCTCGTATACCTGGGGCTGTCTTTGGGAGCGTGCCCGCTGTTTGCAAATATCATCATGGTTCAAGGCGTGCGCGTGCATGTCAACATGTGAGTGGGAGTGCAGTACGGTTCACATGGGTGCATGTGTTTTCATGCTCGTATACCTGGGGCTGTCTTTGGGAGCGTGCCCGCTGTTTGCAAATATCATCATGGTTCAAGGCGTGCGCGTGCATGTCAACATGTGAGTGGGAGTGCAGTACGGTTCACATGGGTGC